GGGGGTCTGCGGGAGGAGGTGCAGGAGGAGGTGCAGGAGGCCTGTCCCGTGGGGCCGGCTCCTTAGGGAGGGCTGTTGTGAGTGTGGTGCCAGCTTCCTCAGAGGAGCCTGGGAGACGGGATTAATTACCAAATAAACCTCAACGCAGGCCTTGAACAGCCTTAACCAAGCCCCTTCCCCAGGCCCGGTGGGAAGAGGGCGCTGCCCCAGGTGCCCGGGGAAGTGGCCCAGGCCAGCTGGGGCCCGAGCTTGGCCGCCCTGTAGCCACCAGCACATCCCTGTTCGCATCCGGCCGCTCTGACTGCCACCAGGAAATGAGGGGCACCGCTGTCTCCTCCTTTCACCCGTGAAGCACGTGAGAGAGAAGTAACGTCGGGGTACAGAGGCCTCTCCCTTTTCATCCAAGTTTGAGAACTGAACACGGTTTCCCTGTCCTGAGCTTCAGCTGGGGGGGCGCGTCCCTGCACCTGGTCTGAACTGCAGGTGAAGCCGTCATCCCCGGGCCCACGCCCTCAGACCCCTCCCACCGGCCGCCAACCCCGCGGGGAGGGGGGCCGGGCCGCCTCCAAGTGATGCCACTCCTGGGAGAAGGGCCTGTGTGGGGCTTGGGTGGCGAAAGGTTCCGGGGGAGAAGCTGGAGAAGTTTGAGAGACGCTGGGCGCTGACGCGAGGCCTGTGGGCTGGGATGGGCATGACCACGGCCGGCTCCAGTCTCCGAAGTCTCAGCTTTTGGGAAAAAGTGTCTTTACTTGTAAAACGTCCTGGACCTCCGGCACCAGGACTGGACCTTGTCTTGGGTCAGGGCCACGGGACTCTGAGGAGGAGGGAACCAGCCAGGCAGCCCCCCCGACACCCCGTCTCCCCTCAGTCCCCTCACCCCCTCTCTTCCTGGGACTCAGCCATTCGTTTATCCCTTTGACAACTAAGTGAATTCTCGTTGCCTGTAGGTGCTCACTCTTTAAAGGCTGCTTTTAGGGTCCACATACACCCCTCCCTGGGGTCCCTCCACCGGGAGCCACAGCCTTCGCGTCGCGGGGCAGAGCCTGCCTGGCGCTGGGCTCCCGGGGGACCAGTGGACCCTGCCCGGCACTTCCGGTTTCCCCTCAGCGGTTCTCAACCTTCCTGATGCCGCGGCCCTTTAATACAATTCCCCATGTGGTGGTGACCCCAATGCCATTGTTACAAATTGAACATCATTAAAGCGTAGTGATTAATCCCCAAAACAATATGTAATTATAGATGTGTTTTCCGATGGTCTTAGGCGACCCCTGTGAAAGGGTCGCGACCCACAGGTTGAGAACCGCTGGTAGGTGGTCTCACCGGTCACCACAGAGCATCCCGAATGTTAGGGCCTCGCAGCAGGATGGGAGAAATCCGCGGGTACCGCTTCGCGGGGTCCCAGACAGCGGTCATCCCGCTGGTCTCCCAACAGATCAGCCCCTTCAGAAGCTGCTGTGAAGACTGGCTTGAGAGATGGGGGCGCAGGGAAGCCCAGCGAGGACCGTTCGCAGGGGCGGAGTAGGGTGGGCTGGTGTCCGGTGCTGGCATTTGGTGATGGCATCCGGTGCTGGCGTCCGGTGATAGCATCTGGTGATTGGCATCCGGTGATGGCATTTGGTAATGGCATCCGGTGATGGCGTCCGGTGATGGTGTCCAGTGACGGCGTCTGGTGACGGCGTCCAGTGCTAGCATTTGGTGACGGCATCCGGTGATGGCGTCCGGTGACGGTGTCCAGTGCTGGCGTCCCGTGAAGGCATCCAGTGCTGGCGTTTGGTAATGGCATCCGGTGACAGCATTTGGTAATGGTGTCCGGTGATGGCGTTTGGTAATGGCGTCCGGTGACAGCGTCCGGTGCTGGCATTTGGTGATGGCGTCCGGTGCTTGCATTTTGGTGACGGCGTCCGGTGACGGCGTCTGGTGATGGCATTTGGTGACGGCATCCGGTGACGGCGTCTGGTGATGGTGTTTGGTGATGGCGTCCGGTGCTGGCATTTTGGTGATGGCGTCCGGTGACGGCGTCTGGTTATGGTGTCGGTGATGGCGTTTGGTGATGGCGTCCGGTGCTATGTGTCCAGCCGACTTTGCTCTCTGCCCTGGGATCCGCCTTGTGTGTGCTTGGGGTGTGTGCGAGAACATGTGTACGTACGTGCATCTCCCATCCAATGTGACTAAAGCTGACCTTGCTTTGCTTACGCGCGAGCCCCGACACTGGTGACCATGTTCTTCCCAGGGCACAGTGCCGGCCCCAGGACACCCATCTGAGGTCCGGCCCTGGTTTTCCCGGGAGGCCTGTCCCCGTGCTGCGGGCAATAATCTGAGCTCCTTTCCGGTCACACTGCCGCGGGCCATCCGGGCTGCTCTCGCCTCTCAGCCACCCCTGTGGGTAGATTATGTCCTGCTGTTACCGCGGCCCCATCGCCCGCGAAAGACCAGCCGCACGTCTGTGGGCGCGGGTAACAGAGCAGAGCCAGAGCAGGGAGCGGCGGACACCCTCACCGCGCGGAGCGCGGGCCCTGGGCCGCCCTGACTGCGTCCCACACGGGCTCGGCCGGCGGGGCCTCGGGAGCTCACCACCCACCTCCCGCCCAGCCCCTGAGCGAGAGAAGCCTCACGCCATCTCCTTGCCTGGGTCAAACCTCTTTCCTTGTCCGACTTTAATGTCTGGAGTCCTCGCTCCAGCTCCCAGCCCAGCGCCCGCCCCAGGGACAGCCGGGCACACAGGAGCCCTGGTCATTTCTGGGGGAAATTGGGAAAACAAATCAAGCCTGAAATGCCGTGAAGACACAGTGGCCTGCCCTTTTATTTGGTGGCGTGTAGAGTGATGCCACTTGTTTTGTACATCTTTAGGGTTTTTCCCATAGTAATTGTGTACAGTTCTCCATGGCCTGGGTGTGACCAGTTTGTTTGGAGCGTCATGCTGACACATACGTGCCTGGAAGGGGACACGCGATTGCTTTGGCCTTTGGTCACTCATTTCATTTTGTTTGGTTTGATGCTTTCAGTCTCTGAGGGATCGTTAAAGAGATGCTCTGCAACCAACAGGGTGTGGATTCTTTTGCACAAACATTGAAGGCGGACGGTGACAATGTGAGAGACTCCTCGCCAGTATCTATGTCGGAGTCGCTCAATATTAACCAGACTTGGTGGTCTTTCCTCCCTGATCGTAAAGTCTGAGGACGGAGCAAAGGCGACCGACTGTCCTCACGGGCCCTGCTTCCTGCCGCCCGGCTCCTCCTTACGCTGCGAAGGACGTGGGGAGGCACCAGGACGTGCTCCATCCCCCACAGCTCAGCCGGGAGCCGCGTTCCCTTGCCCTGAAGCTCTCAGCTCTCAGCTCTCAGCTCTCAGCGGGCCGGAGCCCGAGTGCCTGCATCCTGCACGGCCAGCGCCTCCCCCTCCTGGCTGTTACGCTGCTGTGAGCGCGGGTGTGGGTGTCTATGGATTAGTGTTTGCGTTTCTTTGGATAAGTGCCCAGGAGTGGGCCTGCTGATAGTGTGGCAGCTGTTTCTGATTTTTTGAACAATCTTCATACCGTTTCCCTAGCAGCTGCCTCAGTTTACAGTCCCAGCAGTTGAGGTGGGTTTCTTCCGTCCTCACCAGCACTTGCCGATTTCTTGGTGACGGCCATTCCGACACGTCTGCACTGACATCTCATTGGGGTTCAATTTGCATTTTCCTGGTCAGTGACAGTGAGCACCTTTTCATACATCTGTCGGCCGTTTGCTGTCGTTTTTGTAGAAGTGCCTGTTGAGGTCCTCTGCCCTTTTAATCGGATTGTTTGGTTAAGTTCTACGAGTTCCTTATGTATTTTGTATATTGACCCCTTGTCAGTGTATCATTGGCCAATACCATCTCCCAGTCCGTAGGTTATCTGTTCATTTTAATGGTTTCCTTCACTGTGCAGATCTTTTGAGTTTGAAGTTGTCCCATTTGCTTATTTTTTATTTGTTTCCCTTGTCTGAGGAGACATATCCAAGAAGATATTGCTACAAGTGATGTCAGACTTACTGCCCATTTTCTTCTATCAGTCTGTGGTTCCAGGCCTTAAGTTTAAGTC